CCACCAATCAGAGTGTTCTAAGCCTAATTGCAGGGCGGGGCAAGGCTTTATAAGCCTTGACCCACCCTGCGGAGCTCAGTATGCGGCGTGCCTCGTTTTTTTTTTTTGTTTTTTTTTAAAGTGCGACTGGTGTAATGGATTTTTATTTGGCCTTTTTGGGGGCTGAAGAAAGAAGATTTTAGAAAAAAGAAGACGTCAAATGGTAAGTTTAATTTTTTTTTTTTTTACAGGTTAGTTATTTTATTCCCCCCTCACCATTTGTAGGGTGAGGGGGGTAGGTAGGGGATAGGTTTTTTTGGGTGGGGGCTGGTGACTAGGGGCTTGGGACCCCTAGTCACCTTGATTGGGGGGGGGGTGTTTCATTTAGGGCCCCCCCCCACCGCCCAGGGGGTGGGGGCCGGGGGGGGGGAGGACAGTAGGTCCCCCCCCCTTATTGTTTTACTAGGGCCCCCACCCACCGCGCAGGGGTGGGGGCCGGGGGGGGGGAGGACAGTAGGTCCCCCCCTTATTATTTTATTAGGGCCCCCACCCACCCACCGCGCAGGGGTGGGGGCCAGGGGGGGGGCCAGTAGGTTCCCCCCCATCTTTATTTAGGGCCCCCACGGGCATGGGGGGGGGGGTTTATTAGGTTTTTTATTTATATTTTTTTTACAGTGAGCAGCTATAAGCTGCTCACTGCTTACTACACATGCCCCTACTCGCGATATAGCGAGTAGGGGCATATTATTTACTAATACTAAGTAATCTTTACTTAGTATTAGTAAAGTTGGCTGTTAGACCAATTTAGGTCTTTCAGCCTTTTAGTAGATAGCTCCCTGATACCGTGGGAATTAGGGAGTTATCTACTAAGCGGCTGCAAAATGCAGCCGCGGCAATGAATAGGATCAGAGTTTCATTCATTAGAATGAAATTCCGATCCGAATAAAATGCCGAATTGCGTTCTAAAAGAAACGAACATACTGTTGTCATTCAGTTAGAACGCAATTCGGCAGTTTTCTGTAAAGTGAAAGGAAGCATTGTGGGAACACTGAGGAAAGCTAGGGATCATGGGAAAATTGCTCTGACCAGCGGAAATGAAGCACACTTTGCTCCTCCGCTGGTCAGAGCTGGTCAAGCGGAGGAATCCTACATAAGGCAAAGAGTCCCTACTTTGTCTTATGATTTTAAAGAAAACTAAAGAAGACAGGAAGAAATGAAGAACAGATCCTGAGAGAGGGGGAGAAGAGGAAGAGATTGAGGAAAGGTAAGTTCGGCATGACAGTGCCGCTTTAAAAAAATGAGGCATTGTTATTCTGGAAATGAAACGTACTCTTGCTGAATGATGTATCAACCTTATATTGTAAACCACCCGTACATTTCCCCTGCTTTCTCTTATGTACCCCATCTTATATGCCTTCAATAAAACCAGATTGACAAAAAAAATTAAAAAAAATAAAATATCCTAAACGCAGCACACATATAATATCCTAAACGTAGCGCTAATATAACCTAAACAAAGCGCTAATATATTATCCTAAACGTAGTGCAAATATATCAAAACACAGCACTAATATAATAATCTTAAACGTAACGCTAATATAAATATCCTAAACGTAGCACTATTATCATCAACGCCATTTATATAGCACCGACAGATTCCGTATGACTTTACAATATTATGAGAGGGGGATTTAACTATAAATAGGACAATTAAAAAAAACAATTTACGGGAACAATAGGTTGAAGAGGACCCTGCTCAATCGAGCTTACATTCTATAGAGCTAATATAATATCCCAAACGTAGCGCAAATATAATATCCTAAACACAAAGCTAATATCCTAAACACAGCGCTAATAAATCCTAAACACAGCGCAGATAGAATATCCTAAACATATCGCTAATATATCCTAAATGTAGCGCTAATATATCCTAAATGTAGCGCTAATATACTATGCTAAACGTAGCGCTAATATAATATCCTAAACGCAGCGCTAATATAATATCCTAAACGCAGCGCTAATATAATATCCTAAACGCAGCGCTAATATCCTAAACGCAGCGCTAATATAATATCCTAAACGCAGCTCTAATATAATATCCTACACGCAGCTCTAATATAATATCCTACACGCATCGCTAATATAATATCCTAAACGCAGCGCTAATATATCCTAAACGCAGCGCTAATATATCCTAAATGTAGCGCTAATATATCCTAAATGTAGCGCTAATATACTATGCTAAACGTAGCGCTAATATAATATCCTAAACGCAGCGCTAATATAATATCCTAAACGCAGCGCTAATATAATATCCTAAACGCAGCGCTAATATAATATCCTAAACGCAGCGCTAATATCCTAAACGCAGCGCTAATATAATATCCTAAACGCAGCTCTAATATAATATCCTACACGCAGCTCTAATATAATATCCTACACGCATCGCTAATATAATATCCTAAACGCAGCGCTAATATATCCTAAACGCAGCGCTAATATAATATCCTAAACGCAGCGCTAATATAATATCCTAAACGCAGCGCTAATATAATATCCTAAACGCAGCGCTAATATAATATCCTTACCGCAGCACTAATATAATAAACAGCGCAGATATAATATGCTAAACGTAGCGCAGATATAATATCCTAAATAAAGCTAATACATTCTATTAATTATATGGATTTCACTTGGTTACAGACGCAGTACTCTGTACTAATATCAGAGATGCAGAGAGTGCACACCTCAGACCAATATCACAGGACATACAATTTAATTTATACCAGTAACTGTTACCTTTGCTCCCCAGACAAGAGTGAAATGCATTTCCCAAGG